TAACACACAGCCGTGACAACCATGATAACAATGATGATGTTATATTGAATGAACAGAGCAGAACAACCCCCGGTGAGTTTGACGATAGTGAAGACCTAATTATAGAGTTCAATGAGACAGTTATTTACTTTTCTGTTAATGCTAATGGATTTCAGGAGAGTATCTGGCTTCATTAAATTCTGGTCATGAGACTAGATTTCATTTATGTTGGTACATATTTTGTATATGAAGATGTTGCATGATAATAGAGATTTCTTCTATGTAGAGGGGCAGTTAAAAGTTATTAAATTGAATAATCACACTTCAGTGAATGCAAGCATAAGTTGGTAGCTATACAGATATCTATCTCCGATTATATAGCTCGTCTGGGAGGTTATTCCACAATCCTTAGAATTCACTGCATTTATGAAGCCTGAAGACCACAAATAATAACTTTGAAGTCTGAAATAAGCAAATGTTGATCATTAGCATTAAGAAGATTAAGTATTATGATTGTCAACAGAATCATATACCAATAACAACTCTAACAAGACAGACACTCCATATCATAAGCCATAGAAATGTATGCAGGGGATATCACTGTTAATAACAGTGAAATACTAAATAAGTAGATACAAATTCACTTTATTTACCACATATATCCTATCTAAATGTCTGTCTTTCAAAGGTTTTGAATGGTTATGATTCTGCAGCCTCTCTCAGTAATGTAGCATTTGAGATCTATAAAAAAGCAAAAAATATGTTAAAGTGACATTATTTTATGCGATCTCTCTATTAATAAGAGACACCAGCAACATGTGTTACATTAGAAACTATTGGGAGTAAAATTGTGTTATGCCAAAAGGCAGTAATATGTTCCTTAATTACCACAAGAAATAATAACATTAAAATGTCATGATCTGCACTTTTGCCAAAACAGAAATGTAAATTCAATTGTGTTGTGCGATCAGATTGAATCAATGAAAAATGGGAAGATAAGATAGATATACTGCTGTGCCAGGCACTGTAAACAGCATTAGCTTTCTATATAGCTTAGTTAATAACAAGGCTCATATACTGAAAATAAGCAGTTTAGAAAATTGGATTTGGGCATATTGCACTCTACAGTTTCCATTGACCAGTATGAACAGATGTGCAGCTCTACATGTCGGTTGCCTTTAATAAGTCAAAGATCTATTTGAGGAAATCAGAATGGAAAAAGCACTTATCGGCATAAAAACATGATTTGTGGCTCCCTTTCACAGAAAGGACATGCAGAAGGATACAGTTCAAGGCAAAGGTCAAAGGGAGAGAGAAGGAATAAATCACACAGAATGAAGCTTTGCTACAATTTTTTACAATCTACAACAAACTTGATAACTATGGTCACAGTAACATTATGGACATCAGAAATACTAGCCTATGTACAATAAATACTTAACAATATTTCACATTTGTTTGAGTTATTTTGTTTTCAATGGAATAAAAATAAAGCTCACATTCTGAGTTTGCCCTGTCTTTCTACACATCAATCCAGGCAGCATTTTCTGAACCTATTAATGAAATGGGGCGTTAGTTGGCTCGTCGCTCACCATGTCCAAACAGTGTGAGATAAAGAGTTCAATTGAGATGTCCAGAAATCATACTGCATGAACCACGCAGCTGCCCTGCTGCATACAGTTTTGATCATCACAATATTAAGAGACAGCCCAGACCCTAGAGATGGTGCAGAGGAGAGCAGAGGCTGATATCCACAGTTGGAGGGATGAGTCATGAGGAAAGATTAGATAAGTCTTAAAATGCGACAACTCAAAGAGGACCTTACAGATATAAGGTATAAAAGTGGTATAAAACTCAGATGGAGAAAGCAAATCCAGAACAAATCTTTCAGATATGCCAAAGCAGCAGAGGAAGAAGTCACATGTTCAGAATCACAAAGGGTAGTTTTAAATGAGTATTGCCAATGGTACAACAAGCCTTTAATTCATCATTGATGACACAGCAATCAGAGAGTCACAACCAAATGTCGCAAATACCCAACAAATCTGTTTTGCAAATATTTGGGGTGGTACGCATTGCTATGGTGTTAGTTTCAAATAGGATCTATGAAGAAAAGGTCTTAGCTGTACAATCAACACCCCAAGAACTTTTAATGGACCATTCCTTAATGTTGTTAAAGTGTCTGACCAAGCTTCCAGCTCCTAATCATTTTACTGCTCAAAACAATATCTTTTCCCTTCAAACAGATTGATGGGCATTACTGACTTGTAGCTTTTTGGAATCAATAACTGACTCTGTCTGGAGGACCCAGGATTTGACTTATGTCTCAAGATGTCATTAACATCCTGAAATTTTCTTAGTAACTCATCACATTGATCTGTTCTTTCAGTTCAACATGATTGTCTATGCATATCTTAAATTAAATATAACAGAGGTCTGACATCTGATATGGTCTTTAACCTTATATTAACCATTGTCTTAAAAAGATTGTGAAAACATTTAGAAAATTCTTACATTTGGTATTATTTTGTTTTTCATCAGTTCTTAAAAGGATCTGTGGAAAACTGGCTTCCAAATTAAGACTCCATTTAAGAGTTTTCCAAATTTCAATTTGGAAAATTTCAAATTCCAAATTTCTAGCAATCCAAAATATGAAGACAATTGTTTTAAGGCTATGAAGGTTTTGTTATGAGTTAACATACAGTGTATATCTCTTAAAAGCACTCTGGGACTCTACCCTGCATGAGAGGTACTATATAAATACAAGTTGTTGTTTTTGTTGTAAATTATAAACTAATTGAACCTGTAGTGTACGTCACCCAATGAAAACAATGGGACACAGCAAATGACCGTTCACTTTGTCTCTTGAAACCTACATTTGTTTCCAATGTTCAACAAAGTTGGATCTGATTTGAAGTTTAATATAAATGATTATTAGCAACTGATCTTCATTTAGTCTCAGACTGAGCAGTATAAAATGTTACAACGAGAAGGCTGATAAATATACCCAAGCATCCTTAATCCTGACAGACATAAAGGTTGTTTGCATCTTTTGAAAACCTTGATATTGTATCAGATAAACTCTACAAAGTTATTTCAATTAACACCCAGGTGTTTTTTTTCCTCTCTGTCAGGAATTATATTTATGGTATTTCACTTTGGCAAAATAAACTTCAGTCCCCACTCTAAAAAATGTGCTTCCACTGTTTTAAAATCAGCTCATTCAAAGGCAGCTCATCTCAGAAAAGGACTGCAGACCGATGGATACTCTAGGTTTCTCAGTGGTGTGAGTAGACCCAGTTAATTATCCTATTCTATTGTGAGCACCGGTGATAATTATCACAGCAATACCCCCCACCTCCCCCATTCCGTCCGTCCCACAATAAGATGAATATACGACTACTATACGGAATCTCGGGTGTGATAAAAACACTGGTGAATAAACATGAACTGACACCATTTTATAACGATTTTTCTCGTCTTAGTCTTGAGTCTTTTTCATCAAGCATTCCCTCGAAAGCTTTCATTGTCCTCTGACAGCAACATGGTCAGACAAAGGAAGATGAAAGTTGGGAGGGAAGGAACTGAAGATTCTGGTGATAGACATTCAAATAGTAAAATATAATATTTATTGTATAAAATTCTGAAGCTTCTTTACTGAATTAGGCTGACATGTCAAAAATCAGTTGCTAATCTTCACTGTTGAAATGTCTCTAATGCTGAATGATTATGAAATAGCAATGATTATTTATATTACAGTGTGTTTAGATAATAATGGGATTGTACAAAAGTAACTGAAGGGCGGTATTTTGGTTCAAAGTACAATGTTCGCTCCATTAAAACATATATTCTTATGTCCAGACTAATTCTGGTGTGCCCTGTACACTGATAAACACATTATTATTGCTCATTTCCCTTTATTTTAGGCAGATCAGGGATGAACAAAAACACTTGCCTCCTTATTAAATGTAAAAGGCAATATCCATTTTGTATGGTATTTTTAGACTTTATTATTTCCTTGAGATTATGCTGGTATTTGCATTTGGCATATATATTTTAGTTGTTTTAAAAATCAAATTTTCAGTTTGGATTGCAGTTAAAGCTTTATATGTTACATAGTAGACGGCATACTCCTGGGTTTAGAAGTACGAAGAATATAAAGTAGTATCTCATGTTCAAATTTTGCTTTTGTTCCATCTAATTAATGTGTTAGACTGAAGCCATCAACGTCACATTATAAGACCCTGATTTAAGATGGATAATGCCTTTATTTTGTACTATGATTTGCTGACCAAAGTCACATTGATGTTAAGTGCACTTAGTCTTTATGGAATACAAGCAAAATCAGCAAATCACAATAAAAATCAGAAACAAATTTTGATTTTTTTTCAATTAGCTTTTTCGATGAATCATGTCCGTTTCCTTCAACTAGTACTTATATTTTATTATAAAAAACACATTATGTCTGCAATTTGCATTATGATATGGTCCTATGAAATTCTTCAGGTTCAAAATGTGCCAAAGGTTAATGGAACTGTATTTTGGGTCAAATATCCATGTAGGAAGCTACTGAAAACAAATTTAGCACAAGACAAGTATCCTTGCAACTTGAATTACATATGAGAAGGAGAATCAGACACCTGACACCAAAATTGGGAAATTAGTGGACAATCAGAGAACCCTCCCTTAGTGTTGTAAATGAGATTAAACATTTATTTCCACAAGGATTGATAAAACGTGATCCTAATTTATTCTAGATAACTTGTCTTTATCTCGAAACTGGCTAAAGAACCACGTAGATCTAATGTGTATCAGCTGCATTGGCATATGCCAAAATTTGAGTGTTAAAATGAATATGCATTTTGTGAAATGTACCAAAGTCTTGAAAAATAGCAATATCTTAAAATGTGCATGATTCATGCATATGGCACAATATTTCAAGTAAAGCTGAACATTTGGCATTCAGTCACTAAGTTCAAAGATGGACATGATATAAAGCGATCTCTCTTCCGCCCCTCATGTTATTCTCTTTCTGTTGAAACAGAAAATGACATGAAATGATTTTGAAATCTTGTAAGTTTTTTTATGCTTTCAGCACAATCAAACCTTGCATAACATGAGTGTTTACCACTGCAGATTTGTGTATCCTCTTTTTAACCATGCCACTCAGTGCTTTTATAGGTAAAGGTATCCAATCCAATACACAAGATTGAACAGGCCAAAAGCTGTAGGAAAAAATATTCTGGAATAGGAATCGATTTTGGCAACACGAATATGTATTCGACCTTGTCTCCAACCCCCTGAGCGGCATTCATCGAAACAGCAGAAGAAGCTGCTGCAGTCCTTTCCGTCCAAGCACTCGTAGCCATAGTCATCTCTCTGCTCCTGCAAGTGTGCAATGTTGTTCACCTGAATCAATGTTGATCCTGGACCCACATCAATAACAGGGGATTTCTGCAAAGACATCACAATAATTCCCATAAACAATCTTGACTTTACAATCACAATTCAATTTCCAGACGGTCAGGAAAATTAGTTATGGGAGATATGGGACCACAATCATGTCAGAACATTTCATGATGCAGTGATCACTCATAATCCCCCTCCCATCTTTCCTCAAGGCAATGGATCAAACTGGTGTTCCACATGCACCAGGCATCCTCTCGTAATTTGTCCAAGTAGCCATTCTTCATGTCTGAGTTTAAAGATTAAATCCTGGCAGACTGCTTTATTACAAGAGCATCATATTCAAGCCATGATCCTATCCTTATCCTACATACCCACAGACTTACTTAATGGCAGGAATCACTGTATATGATCCAGAGCACAAGCCCTATTTGATCTGTTCTCCCACTTCCCTCGAACACCCGAGCTGATAGCAACATACTCAGGACAGACTTTTTTTGGTCAACCAGATGTTTGACATAGGTGCAAGCCCTATGTCAATGCTCAAGAATATCCAAACCAGTCCCAGAGTTTCACATTGCCGTACCAAATATGCATGGGAGTTTTCCAATGGAATGCACACTCTCCCTCTTAGAGGGATACACCATCTTAACTAATTCCAGAAAGCATACATACAATGAGAACCAAGGATTCGGGATCCCAGAGTGTGCATTGGGTACTGAGTTATTGAGGCACTGCTGGTGTTTAACCAGCTAAAACTGCACCACTTGGCATTCAGAGCATTGTCTGTACAGGTTAGCAATTGAATATGAAGCCCTCCAGGTTTGCATGGCTCAGTTCTACATAATGTTTTAGCAAATTAGCTATTTGAGGAGCTAGTGGTCTTCATATAAATTTGGAATTGTTTCAGTTGAAAAAAACAGTACTCTCTCCACTCAGCAGACTATGGCCTGCTCCATGTTCCCCTCCCAGCTCGCCCCACCATCGGCAGTCAGACCTTCAGGCTCTCTGCCTTCACCCTCTGGAACTCCATCCCACATTACCTTTGCCTCGCTCCCTCCTTTGCCTCCTTCAAGGCACACCTCAAGACCCTCCTCTTCAACCATGCCTTCGGCCACCCGCCTACCCTCTCTGCCTTCCACCCTCCCTGATCCCAACCCCTCCCACCCCCGCTCGTGTCCTAATCCCTGATTGTTCAGCACTGTGGGACGTCCTTCCGATGTAACAGGCGCTTTGCAAATTTAATTTTTTATTGTATTGTATTTGGATTTTTTACACAATACAGTACGCCAAACGTTTCATTACTTTTATTTCATTTCAATGATGATCCAAAGTGTTATTGACAGCTTTTATTTACACCGAAATTCCCTCACCCAAAACCTCTTTGCAATTTCAGTTTGTCTCATAATCTTATACAAAGGGGTCAAGCAAACCTAATGCCATTTTCACAGTAATTGTTAGTTTGTACCCAAAATATCTCTTTTAGCAATATTTTATCATAACAGGAAGATCACAAACCATGTTTACATCATAACATGGTAACAGTTTATTCGAGCGCTTTTCTACAAGTAATTCCAAATATGCAAGCATTTAAGGCAATTTAATTAACTGTGTGATCGATGATTTAAAAAAATTCAGGTGACCCTGAAGCTCCCCTCATATATTACAAATTAAAATTACTCAAATACCAGGAGGAGTATCTAAACTCAAGTGTAACATGTGTGAACTATATAATAAAAATCCTTGCATTTTCTATAGCGGTCAACTGTATAATTAAAAATATCTGTATATCTGTTTGTACATGATTAGTCAGTGTGCTATTAGCCCAACTATTAGACCCCAAAATGCTACCATACATTCTTCAAAAGACGAGGGATTTCTAATGGAGCTTTACAATTGTTTAATAGAGAGTATTGGCTGAAGTGTACTTCACCAGACAATGTCCACTTTTCTTTCTTTCCTCCCCCAAGTAGCACCTTCTCATTGTTTAATCGCACCTTGGGCAAGAACTAACCAAGGTTTCCTATCCTCAGGCTGGTGAATTTGTTGGTCAAAAATGAGATGCTTCAAGTTCCATTTTAAAGATATTTGATGCCGATCCTGTCTGAAAAGAACTGCAAAACCTCAAAGTGAAATAAAGGCTATAAGATGCTAAATAGCAGGCGGAAATAATATGTCGTTGATTCAGAAATGGAAGGCTATTACATTGCTCACTATTAGTCTCAATGCTTCCAGTTCTGTGAATTCTGAGCTAAAGCAGAAGGTCTTGTCTATGTGTATTTGGGGTGAAAATATAAACATGATATAGTATACAGTTCCAATCTTGTATTCTGTACAGTCAGATTGCATTGCTTTTGTTACTGCTCTAAGATATGATAAACAGTACATTAGAATATACAGCACAGAAACAGGCTATTCAGCCCAACTGGTCTATGCCGGTGTTTATGCTCCACATGAGCCTCCTCCTGTCCTTCCACAACTAAGCCTTCAAGCACAACCTTCTATTCCTTTCTCCCTCATGTACCTATCTAGCTTTCCCTTAAATACATCTATGCTATTTGCCTCAACAACTCCTTGTGGTAGCATGTTCCACATTCCCACTACTCTTCGTGTGAAGAAATTTCTTCTAACTTCCCTATTGGATCTATTTGTGACTATTTTATATTGATGGCTCCTGGTTTTGGTCTCCCCCACAAGTGGAAACACCTTCCCTATGTCTACCCTATCAAAACCTTTCATAATTGTAAAGACTTCTATCAAGTCACCCCTTATCCTCCTCTTTTCAAGAGAAAAGAGTCCAAGCATGTTCAGCCTTTCCTGATAGGTATAACCTCTCAGTTCTGGGATCATCCTTGTGAATCTCCTTTGCACCCTCCCCAGTGCCTCTACATCTCTTCTATAATGTGGGGACCAGAACTGCACACAGTATTTTAAGTGTGGTCTAACTAAAGTTCTATAGCAGTTGACCATAACTTCCCTGCTTTTCATTTCTACCCCTCTAGAAATGAGCCCCGATGTCTGGTTTGCCTTTTTTATGGCCTTATTAATCTGCGTTGCTACTTTTAGTGAAATGTGTATCCTCATCCTCACCTACAAGGCCATTCACGGCCTTGCTCCCTCCTACCTCTCCAACCTACTATCCCCCTACCTACCTGCCCGTACCCTCCGTTCCTCTGGCTCCGGTCTGCTCCACGTCCCCGCCCCAACCGCCCTACTATCGGTGGTCGGGCCTTCAGCCTCTCAGCCCCGAGGCTCTGGAACTCCATCCCCCAGTGCCTTCGCCTTGCTTCCTCCCTTTCCTCCTTCAAGGCCGGTCTCAAAACCTTTCTCTTTGACCGTGCCTTCAGCTCCCCTCTCGACTCTCTTCCTCCTCGCCCTCCCTTCCCTCCCCTCACCCTGACCATTTCCCCCTCCTCTCTCCCTCCCTTCCCTCCCCTCAACCTGACCATTTCCCCCCTGCTCGGGTCATGACCCAACTGTGCAGCGCCTTGGGACGTCCTCCTGACGTGAAAGGCGCTCTATAAATGGAATCTTGTTGTTGTTGTTGTTGATGTGTATGTGTAGGTCCCTTTGCTCTTCTACCCCATTTAGTTTTTTATTTTCCAGGATGTATGTGACTTCCTTATTCCTTCTAGCAAAATGTATCACCTCACATTTTTCTACATTGAAATGCATTTGCCATTTAAAGGCCCACTCAGCAAGTTTATTAATGTCTTGCTGAAATTTGTTGCAGTACTCCTCTGTATTAACTACTCCCCCCAATTTGGTGTCGCCTGCAAATTTTGAAATTGTACTGCTGATTTCCAGGTCCAAATCATTAATGTATATTGTGAACAACAGTGGTCCCAATACCGATCCTTGTGGAACACACTGCTCACCCCTTGCCAGTCTGAGTAGCTATCCTTTACTCCTACTCTCTGTTTTCTGTTTTGCAGCCAGCTTGCTATCCATTCTGCTATTTTCCCCCTGACTCCACATGCTCTGACCTTATTCATTAGTTTATTATGTGGTACCTTATCGAACGCCTTTTGGAAATCTAAATATATTACATCTACGACAACAACAAGATTACATTTGTATAACACCTTTCACTACTGCATTACCCTTGTCTACTCTTTCCGTTATCCCTTCAAAGAATTCAATGCGGTTGGTCAAGCATGACCTTTCTTTTTGAAATCTATGCTGACTATTGTTTATTATGTTTTCTGTTTCTAGATGATTTTCTATTACCTCCTTCAGTAAGGATTCCATTATCTTTCCTACCACCGATGTTAAGCTGACAGGTCTATAGTTCCCTGGGTTTGTTCTATCTCCCTTTTTAAATATAGGTATAGCATTAGCTATCCTCCAGTCCTCTGGTACTACTTCCTTTTCTAATGAATTATTATATATGTGTAATAGTGCCTCTGCTATCTCTTCCCTCGATTCTTTTAATATACCCGGAGTCCTGTAGCTCAGTGGTTAGAGCACTCGCTTTGCAAGCGAGAGACCTGGGTTCAATTCCCAGCAGGGCGAAACCTGGGGCAAGTTTCCTAACTCCACACGCCTGATAATAATCCCTCAAAAGAAAACAATAATAAATTGGTCATTTCAATCCACGACTATTTGTGGGACACTGCTGTGCGCAATTGGCAGCCGCATTTCGCCCACAAATACACAGCCAATTCACTTTACAGTCTATTCTGTGAAGTGCTTTGAGACATCTAGAAGACGTGAAAAGCGCTATGTCAAATGCAAGACTTATTATTATTATCTGGACCAGGGGTTTTATCCTCTCTGAGTTTCGTTAGTTTTTCGATTATATCTCCCTTTGTATCTTAAATGTATTTATATTATTTTCGATCTCTTCTACTGTCATGTCCACCTAATCCATCTCCTTGGTGAATACTGAGGCAAAGTAATTATTTAATATTTCTGCCGTTTCACTGTCGTGGCCTGTGAGCTTATCTTGTCCATCCCTTAGTGGCCCTATTCCTATTTTGATTTTTCTTTTGTCACTTATATGTCTGTAGAATATTTTACTATTTCTTTTTATATTCTGTGATAATTTAATTTCATAATTCCTCTTTGCCTTCCTAATTGTTTTTTTTGATTATTTTCCTGACCTCTTCATATTTTTTTTTGTCATGCTCTCCCTTGTTATTTATGTACTTGGTGAACGCCTCTTTCCTGAGTTTCAACTTTCCCCTTATGTCTTCATGTCTTCCTTATTCCATGATGTCTCATTACTATTTAGCTTTGTCTTGCTTTTTAGCAGAATATATTTTTCCTGGGCTCTATTGATCACTGTTTTAAATGTTTCCATTGCTGTTCTATCTCTTTGTTTGCCAATATTGTTTTCCAGTTTATTTTCCCAAGTTCCATTCTCATCCCCTCAAAATCAGCTTTTCTCCAATCTATTACCCTGATCTTTGTCAAACTCATTTCCTTCTCAATCTTTATCTTAAACCTTATTAAGTTATGATCGCTATCTCAGCAACATGGAAATAAACTAATTAAGTGATATATCAGTCAATGTCAGACTACAGTGGCACACACAACTGAGCATTGTTTTCAGGTCTGAAGAAGGCACTCATAATGGAGCGGATTATTTTATGCCTGAATATTGCATACTGTTCAGGCAGTATGGACCAGAGGAATCTAAGCCTAGAGGATCCTATGGCAAATTACCTCTTCTCAATAATAACGTAACTGCCCTTAGGATCAACAATGTGGGAGCCTGCTAAGTCATAAAGTTACTCCGAAAAAGCCTTGATGGATGAGGTGGGTGGGGAGGTAGAGCCCTCTTCCCTCAGGACTGGAACATTTCCTGTAGGCCAGGGAGTAGGGCTGGTAAGACCACAGCCCAGGAACAGAGCTTTAGATTCATTGTAATGTAGGCAGTATTTATCCTATAATCTTTGCATTTGGTATAGTGCCCTCAAAAATGATCAGCAATGAAAAACAAATTTAAGGAACTAACCGCTGGTTTAAGCTTTTTTTTCTTGTTTTTGCTGCTTTTTCTGTTGCTGACAAAGTAATGCAGGGTTCCATACTCCATCAGAGCAGCAAAAACAAAAATGAAACAAACAGATACGAAGAGATCCATCGCCGTCACATAGGATACCTTCGGCAAGGACTTCCTGGAAATTGTACTCAATGTCGTCATAGTCAGAACTGTGGTGATACCTGTTCAATGTGGAAAGTATCATTAACTGTCAAGGAAGCTTCACTGTGGAAAACAAACTTGTACTCGCACTGAATTACAATATAAAACAGTTTACAATTATATAGCCATCTCAAAGCATATTCACAGGTTAGCACAAAACCATTTAAGCCCATTTTTAAGTTGGTTCCTCATATGATTCCTATTAGGAATAAATAAGAAAATACTGGATATACAACAACAATTTAAATTTATGGAGGATATATCAAAATACTTCACAGAATTTACTGCAAAGTGTAGTGACTGTATTTTATATGTGAATGCAGCTGGCAATTTTTTCACACAGCAATATCCCACAATCAGCTATGAAGTGATTTTTTACCTGGGGAAATGTTGGTCAGGATTATCAGAAGAAACTTCCTTCCCTTTTTGAATAGTGTCCTGGGATATTTAACATCACTCTGAGCAGCCACAGGTGGGACCTGTTTAATATCTCACCCAAAAGATCGCACCTCTGACAATGTAGAGCTCCCCCAGCCCTGCATTGGAGGGTCACCTTAGACTGTGAGCTCAGAGTCCCGAGGTGGGGTTTGAATCCCCAATCTTCTAACTAAGAGGCGAAACTGCTATCAACTAACAGGCTGCCAACAAATACTGTAGAGTTTGTCTTGGATGCTGAGTATCTGTGCAGAGCTTGCCTGGTGATGATTGACTGGATGGGTGGACTTCATGGTAGGATACGGCTGTGGAACGCAGAGGATAGATGGGCTGAATGATATCTTGATCCATGTTTTGTATACTACACTGTGATATGTATAGAGAGTTTTGCAATGTTGTTTATGCCATTTCAACATAAAATTACAAATCAAGATTAGTTGCAAAACAAAGAAATTCTATCTGGTATTTTGTGGGTTGGACTTGTTTCTAATTTCTAACTTGTATCAGCATAGGCAATGAGCTCAAGTCCCAATTGCAGAAGTTGAGCTCACAACCTTCTGACCCAGAGACAAAAGTGATATAAACTGAGCTCGGCTGACATTTACACAGTGGACTTATGAAACCCGAATATCTAATTTAATAAATTATTTTACGTACGTCACCTTTTCTATTAATACTTACCAACCTTGTGACATTAAAGAGTAGACTAAATATGCTCAAAATTAGGCCATACCTAATGACGTCCTTGCTGGCACTGCATCTTTGTTAATCCAAAATGACACCCAAGACAAGACAACTGTAAGTGAGCAGGGAATGTAGGTCTGAATGGTGAAGTAGCCCATCCTTCTACTTAGATCAAAGAATACTGTCAGCAAGACATAATCTCCTGTGAAGAGACAAATTCAACTCATTATAATTCATTGGGCACAGAACTGATCGAAAAATTATATACATGACTAGTTACACCACAGTTAGAATACCGTATCCAGTATTTGTCAACCCACTTTAGAAAGACAACAAAATAATGCAGAACGGTGAAAAGGGGAGAGGATAATTCCCAGGATAATACCGGGTATGAAAGCTTTGACCTATGAACAGACACTGTAGGAACTAGGACTTTTTCTGTTGGAACAAAAAAGATTGATGGGTGACCCGATAGAGTACTTCAAAATTTGGATGGGTTTTGATGGAGTCAATAGGGAATATTATTTCCAGTCGGTGAGTCAGTAACGAGATAGTATCAATTTAAGATGGTTAGTAAATAAGCAAATGGGAGGTTAAGATTGTTTTTCACAAACAGAGTGGTTAGGATATGGAATGCCCTTCTGGGTGCAGTGGTTAAGGCAAAATCTATATTGGCCTTCAAGAAGGAACTAGATAAATAGCTTTAAAAGAGTCAGCTTCAGGGGTTTAGAGAAAAGGCAAATAAATGGAATTGAATGGATTGCTCTTAAAAGAGCCAGCACAGTCACAATGAGGGAAATGGCCTTCTTCTGTGCTGTAACCTTCTATGATTGTGTGGTTCTATTAGGATAACAGCATGTTAAAATAATTAAGCTAATAAATAGGAATTACTTTTAGATGAAAGCACATCTGCTAATTCCCAATATTCACCTTTGCCATCTTTGCAATGATAATTATCCTTGCCTTTGATACAGTGCCCTTAATGTCGAAATATCTCGAAGTGCTTCACAGTTTTCTGTAAAGTACATTGACTGTCAATTTGCAGACGAATACAGCAGCTAATAATGCACCAAACAAACAACCTTATAGTGAATGACAAATTTTATATGGAGGATTGTTGACCAGGACACTGTGAGAGACTACCTTCTCTTTTCGAATAGTGCTGTGGGATCTTTCAGATCCTCCTGCGTGTCACTGAGACAATGGTAGTAATCCCACTGTGTCGACTGAAATCAGTTAATTTAGTCCAGATCAGAAACCTGACCAGTTTGTATGCCTCTATACAACAGCACAATGTTGATGTGTTTAAGCAAACCTCAGTCTATTGGTAGAAACTGTCTATCCATGTTGCCTATCTATCTGAATAATTAAAACATGAATAATTAAAACATGGGAGGGTATTGTATTGTATTGTCCTTCAAATTAGACATTAAACTGAAATCCCGTCTGCCTGTTCAGGTGGACGTTAAAGATCCCATAACACTAAAAGAGAAGAGAAGGGAGTTTCTCACAGTATCCAAGCCAACAATCCCTCAAATAAAATTGATCCCTTACTCCATGGCTGTTTGTGGGACACTGCTGTGTGCAAATTGGCTGCGCGTTTGTCCACAAAATATACAGTCAATCCACTTTACAGTATATCCTGTGAAGCACTTTGAACCATTTTGATGACCCAATAAGGTACTATATCAAATCAAGTATTAATATTATTATTATTATGGATTCTGGACAGGGTTATCAATAGGCTGCACTTACAATCAGCATTACCTAAGGATACTGTTGATTAAAAGGCTTGTTGGGCTATTAACAGTGGCTGAAGGTTGTGCACATGCAAAACCCTGTCCAGCTGTTCAGCATTCAAGGGCCAAAGTTACCTTGACAAGAGAAAATGGGAATTGTAATTGAGTGAACTTTGTACAGCAATGTCACTGAACATATGTGAGGAAAAGCTAGGGTCGGCACTGATCTCTTTCACAACACAGGCAGTCTATTAACCACATCCTTTCAAGCATGCATTAGTATGGTCCCTTTGGTAATGGATAAAAGCTCCATGTGTTTCACAGGTTACACAACTATTAATACCCAGAAATAGGTCAAGTATTTACATAACCACACAGTCTCAATCTTACTTACACAGAGTGGTTTGAATGGCACTCTGTGGGGTATTATTATTTGCTTCTAAATTCACTTTAGAGCATAACCTTAAGATCCTGTGGAGTCCTGTAGCTCAGCAGTTAGAGCAATCGCCTCGCGAGTGAGAGATCTGCGTTCGATTCAGAGTAAAGCCACAGAGAGATGTTTCTATAGAATCAGTGAGGGTCTTAATATTGCATTCTGGTCTAACATTACATTGTCAAAACATTCTCAAAATATTCCTACCTTGTAGGGCTGGAAACAAACTATTCACGGAGCAGATCTACACATTAGTCAAGAGCCAAATTCAGGGAAATTAGTTATAGTTTCATGATATTACAATGTAAAAATTACAAACTTGTCTGCTGGACGTTTCTTATAATAATAATCCTTACATTTGATATAGTATTTGATATAGTCAATTTGCACACAGCAATGTCACTCAGACAGCCATGAAGTTAACCTCAGGCATGGCCAGGAAACCGGGAGAAACTCCCTTCTCTTTTCGAATAGTGATATGAGATCTTTAATGCCCTGCTGAACAGGCTGATAGTGTTTCGGTTTAACTTATGCACCTCCAACAGTGCAGCACATCACAGCACTGTACTGGAGTGTCAGCCTCGACTATAGGAGTTTAAAATCCCGACATGTGGCATGAAGCTACAACTTGCTGACCCAGAGATGGGACTGCTACCAACTGAGCTAGGCAGGTAGACAAATCCCAGCCAAATAATGTTATCCAGCATTCCAATTGTATTACAAAAACAAGATTACATTTGTAAGGCGCCTTTCACGTTGGGAGAACGTCCCAAGGCAATGGACAGTGTACAGCATTTCAGACCCGAGCTGGGGTCAGGGAGGGAGAAGGGAGGGGAGGGGGAGGTGGGTGACTGATGGCATGGTCGAAGAGAAGGGTCTTGTGGTGAGACTTGAAGGAGGCTAAGGAGGGGGCGAGGTGGAGTGATTGTGGGGATGGAATTCCAGAGGTTGGGGGCAGAGTGGCTGAAGGCTCTCCCGCCAATGGTGGGGCGGGTGGGTTGGGGCACGTGGAGAGGCCAGAGCTGGCCCAGCGGAGGAAGAGGGCGGGTTGGTAGGGGGTTAGGAGGTCGCAGAAGTAGGGTGGGGCGAAGCCATGGAGGGCTTTGTAGGTGAGGACAAGGATCTTGAAATGGATCCTCTGAAGGATAGAGAGCCAATGGAGTCGGGTGAGAATGTGGGAGATGGGGTCACGGAGTTTGGTGCAGGAGAGGACACGGGCTGCAGAGTTCTGGATTATCTGCAGCCTGTGGAGGGAGGAGTTGGGAAGGCCGACAAGTAGGGGGTTTGCATAGTCGAGCCTGGAGGTGATGAAGGCATGAACAAGAGTTTCAGTGGCCTGAGGGGTGAGGTAGTGGCTGAGTCAGGCGATGTTACGGAGGTGAGGGAAGGCAGAGCAGGTCATGGCTTGGATATGGGGAAGAAAAGACAGTTGAAGGTCGAACAAAACACCTGGGTTCCTGACTGGCTTGGTGAGTTGAAGAGTTCAACCAGAGCCTGAGGTGCTGAGGCGCTGGCGTGAGCTAATCAGGAGGGCCTCAGTCTTGTTCACATTCAACTGTAGGAACTTTGCTCTCATCCAGGACTTGATGTCTGACAGATAGTCTGTCAGGACAGCAGTGGTTCTGGAGTTGAGGGTGGAGGCAGAAAGATAGAGTTGGGTGTCATCCGCATACATGTGGAAGTTGACCCCATGTCCTCGGATGATGTCGCCAAGGGGAAGCATCTAGATATTAAAGAGGAGAGGGCCAAGGCAGAGCCCTGGGGGATGCCAGACGTGACAGTGTGGGGACTGGAGGAGAAACAGTTAGAGGCCACAAAGTGGAGACGGTGAGAGAGATAGGAATCAAACCAGGTCCGCGGAGATTAAGTAACGAGGAGAGGAGGTGTATGAGGATGGAGTGGTCGACAGTGTCGAAGGTGGCAGAGAGGTCGAGAAGAACAAGGAGGCAGAGGGAGCCCTGATCACAGATGTTCAGAATGTCATTAGTGACTTTGACCAGAGCTGTTTCCATGCTGTGGGCAGTGTGGAAGCCGGAATTGGACAGGTTCAAAGAGGGAATGGTGAGAGAGAAAGGAGAGGAGCTGGGACGTGACGATTCATTCCAGGACCTTGGAGAGGAATGGGAGGTTAGAGATGGGGTGGTAGCTGGAGAGTAGGGATGGGTCCAGGGAAGGTTTTTTCATGATGCGGGTGATGACGGCTGTTTTCAGGGGGGTGGGAACTGAGCCGGTGGAGAAGGAGAGGCTGATGATGTCGGCCAGGAGAGGGGCCAGAAGGTGGAGCTGGGTGGTGAGGAGAGAGGTGGGGATGGGATCGAGGGAGCAGGTGGTGGGTTTGAGTTTGCGAACAATCGTGGTGAGGGAGGAGGGAGAGATAGAGTCGAAGGAATATAGGGGGGGATGGGTGGCGGGTGGGTCATGAGGGAGAGGTGATGTGGGAGTGGCGGTGGACAGGGCAGAGTGGCTGAACGTATCCCCTCGATTTTGATATTAATACTTTAAATGCCACCAGAGAAATGTAACATATTTTAATGGCTCCCTTACTGCCCATATGGTAAGACAGCAGCATGTTTACTTTTACGCCCGAATTTAGTGCTCCTGTATGTCAATAGAACAAACTCTTCCTTTATTGCAGGATTATATTAGCTTTGTAAGATTATACAGCATCATTCAGGCTTTCAAATCATTGCTCACTGTATACTCTAGAAGGAAAAGTGTCAGTTGTTTATGTAATGTTTGAGAAAAGCCGATTGCAAGTAGATATTTTACTTACCAGATTGTGTATGCATTATGTCAGTGGCATTTCTTAGGCCAATAAATGCAAACTGGTAAAGTCTCCAATATCTCTGGTCGGCAACTTCAACAGATTTACGCTTCCAGCGATACACAATTTCATTGTTGGGGTAACCATCTGCAAAAAGACATTGATAGAAAGGGTTAAAGGAATCCTCCATAAAATCTGGACTGATAGCTACTGCCAACCTAAACAAAACACAATTACTGTGTCATCAGAATATCTTGAAACGTAGGTGGCAGTCAAGTTTGGAGAGTGTTGTAGGGGCCTCAACGATGTGGTGTGTTCTGTTCTCAACGTTACCAACAAACAGATGACTTCCCTCAGTGCTGCACACAAGGGACATGGATGCTGAAGCCAACAGTGCATTTCTCATGATATAGTTCTGTCATGCCACAGACAATGCTGCTCCACTCATGCATATTGAGCCCTCCATTCTGGCGTCAACCCTAACTCGAAAAGACTTAACTCCATACCTTAATTACAAATCCACGAGCAGCTCAGGAAAGAAGCAGTTTAAAATCCTGTTGAAATTCTTTCTCACAGAAAAAAATCAGAAGGACAAGGAATGGTTTGTTATTAATTCCAGTGATCAAAATAAGGTCTGGGTTTGAAAAAGGTTCAGCTGGGACTTCATGCCTCGGTGAGCTTAAAGTGAGATCATCCAGGAAGAGAAACCTGACAGCTGCTAAGAGTCCTACGTGAGAGGAGTTTGGGCATTCTCGATGCAAATTCCAGTGATCACGTGTACTCAGAGTGAAACAAGAGTGTCCTCAAATGTGGAATAAATTCAGCATTCTCTGTGAGAGATATTAGGGAGTGAGTATATTATGCAAAAGTAATGCAAGAGGCATTTGTTTGAGACTATGAGACTATGGTTGAGCTTTAGTGTTTGGAGAAGAATAAAAAGTTATCATCAAATCTGAACTTTAGTATACTGTATCTGCTTAGTGGATCTTGTTATCCACTGTAAGGCATTGCAAACCCTGTGTTCTCAGATAAAAATGCTCCAGTACTTCATTTGAATTCACACATTTTAGACTTATTCACAGCAGGGATCTTATTTATTTTATTACAGCTATTCCCTCATTCAAAAGTACTATCCATCAAATGAGATATTAAACCGAGGTTCTGTCTACCTGTTCAGGTGAACTTTAAGGATCCCATAGCACTCTACGAAAAGAGAATTCCTCCAGGTATTCTTACCATTCCCCCAGATAAACAAAATTGGTCATTAGCTGTGCAGTGTTCTGAGACACTATGCTATATGTGCAAATTGGCTGCTGTGTTCACCTACAAATATAAGCCAATACACTTTACAGAAAGAAACTCTAAAATACTTTGAAACATTTCTACATGATAAGTTGCTATATCAGATGCAAGCATTATTATTACTATAAATTGTGTGATACTAGCCAGTGCTTCCTAAACTGCACAGTTACAATTACTAACAGTTTTAGACTATGGAAACCATGGGAACACAATGCCATCAAGCCTGTCGTGCGTGATCTTCTAGTTTATTAATCCTAATAGGTTGGTTTAAGCCATTTTTTACTTTGAGAACTTGCATTCTAATTCTCCTTTATTATAGTGCAGTATTCTCTATACAAACAACTTCAAAGGGTTTTAGCATTCCTAGCAAACAGCTGTATAATATATGTAGAACTTACAGCTTGAGAATTCCAGGGGACAGGAATGTTCATCCATAGGAAAGTCATGGAGATGAAGATAGCATTCAGCATTGATGGTCAACCTAATCAAAGTAGACAAGTCGGAAGAAAAACGTTTTAATTCTATGAATCAGGATTAATGATAAAGACTTTAAATTAACATTGATACATTGTTTATGTTGATAAACTAACTGGGTAGATGCTGTAGTTCAGTTCAGCAGGTATTCAATAATGGATCCTCAGTTTTGTAGTCTGGACATTTCTGAACGGCATTTTAGTATAACCATCTTTTCAGAATTGCAGTGGCTATAACATCATCAATCAAACACATTTTTTGGTTCTATCAGAGTTAAACATATTAAATTTATATACTTTGACCCCTTCATCCCATCCAAGCTTGGTTTTTCCAATGTTCTACTTACCGGACTATCCAGCTCCTCCCTGAACAAGCTGCAGAACATCCAGAACTGAGCATTGTACATCCCCCCGACCCACCGCCCCCCACCAAACATCCCCCCAATGAAAGTGAAACATGCTGCATAAAATGAAACTGAATAGCCTTTTCTCAACAACAAAACCTCTACCCTTCATGGATTTCCCTCACTTATTGCCCCCTGCATGGAAATTCCACACAAATGTTCCCCAACTCCTAAATCCAAGAAATGAAAAGATCCAATTATATTTCCAATAATATCATTTTATTGCTAGAATTTGTATTCCATCACACAGAGAGAGGGATATAGGAGATGTGAATTGGAGGGCAGTGGATTCATGTGAAGTTGGCGCAGCCTAAGTGAGTCGAAGGCCTGTCGTAATTCCATGTAACCTCTAATGCTCTTTGTCCACAGTACTGCACACTTTTCAGCAGTCATGGATGCCAGTTAGACCAACTTTGGTTCCTGGTTTGAGCTGTCCCAAGGCAATTGTAACCAGCACTCAAACCATTTATGATATGGATTTCTGCTCTAACAATCCCAGGGTCTATTTCCACATAAGAAGAATGGTTACTTGAGTGATATACTGGAGGACTGTAAGTACTGTGGAATTGGCGCACAAATTTCAGTTCAGTGTATGTTCATGGGCTAGACCTGCTTCATCAGGCACTTGACATTATTGGGAAGAAGTCTCACCCGGGTCTAGATTTATTCTATTTTTGCAGACTGTTTGGTAATATCTTAAATACGGCATTAATTTTGAAGTCTGTTTCTGGTAAGTTGTTTAACAATGGCAGAACCAGCATCAAAGCTTAGACGGAATTAACAACAACATAAACATCAAGTAAATCTAAACCCAGATGGAATTTCTCCCCATATGTGCATCTACAATTCCCTGAATACATATATTTCTGATTGCTTTTGCAGGGAATTGTGTTGGGAATTGGGGAAGGGCTCAGAGGAGAGTCAGCATGTCAACAATCATGGCACATACATAGTGCTGCTACTAATATGGAGTATAATGATGTGTCTGTTAATCTAGAAGTGCAGATTGTTCAGAAGTTGAGACTGAGAGGAAGGCTGGAAATTGCACCACAAGTATGTAGTGGCAAGTTGCATCCTGTTTATTACTGTGAAGATACTGATGGCTGGCTACTTTTGCTGCTCAACTGGAAGCCTAAACAACAACAAAATTACATTTGTATAGCACCTTTCACATCAGGAGGATGTCCCAAGGTGCTGGACAATCAATGTTTCAGACCCGAGCTGGGGGTCGGGATTGGGGAGGGTGGAGGTTAGTGGGGGGAAAGAGGGTGACTGAAGACACGGTTGAAGAGGAGAGTCTTGAGGCAGGTGTTGAAGGAGGCAAGGGAGGGAGTGAGGCTGAGGGACTGTGGGATGGAGTTCCAGAGGGTAGGGGCAGAATGTCTGAAGGCCCGCCCACCAATGGCGAGGCAGGCGAGGCGGGGGACGTGAAGCAGGTCGGATCCAACTGAGCAGAGGGTGCAGTCAGATTGGGAGGAGTTTAGGAGGTCGTAGAGGTAGGGGGGAGCAAGGCTGTGGATGGCTTGAAAATGAGGACCAGGATCTTGCCCTGTATCCTCTGTGTGATGGGAAGCCAGTGGAGTTGGGCGTGGATGGGGGTGATAGGGTCACGGAGCCTAGTGCGAGCTAGGACACAGGCTGTAGAGTTCTGAATAATCTGCAGCCTATGAAGGGAGGAGTTGGGGAGGCCAACAAGCAGGGAGTTTGTGTAGTCAAACCTGGATGCTATGAATGCGTGTATGATGGTCTTGGCAGCCTGCGGTGCGAGAAGTGGCGGAACCGGGTGATGTTATGGAGGTGGAGAAATGTGCAGCGGATCATGGCACAGATGTGGGATATAAAGGACAGTTGAGGGTCGAATAGGATGCTGAGGTTCCATATTGGCTCTGTGAGATGTAGAGTGCATTCACTGAGGGAAATGCTGTCAGTGCCCGAGGTATGGAGGCGCTGACGAGAGCCAAGCAGGAGGGCCTTGGTCTTGCTCCGCAACGTAGCCCAGCTCCGCCACTGTCTCACACCGCAGGCCGCCAAGATCCTCACACATGCTTTCATTACATTCAGGCTCAACTATGCAAAATCATTGTTTGTCGGCCTCCCCAACTCCTCTCTCCACAGACTGCTGATCATCCAGAACTCTGCAGCCCATGTCCTCTCCTGCATTAGGCTCCGAGACCGTATCACCCCGATCCTTGCCCAACTCTACTGGCTTCCCATCACACAGAGGATACAGTTCAAGATCCTGGTCCTCACCTTCAAAGCCCTCCACGGTCTTGCTCCCCCCTACCTTTCCAACTTCCTAACCTCCTACGATCCTGTTCGCTCCATCTCCTCAGCGGGCTCTGGCCTGCTTCATGTCCCCAGACTTGCTCGCCCCACTATTGGCAGGCGGGCCTTCCACCACTCTGCACCCACCCTATGGAACTTCATCCCGCAGTCCCTCTCTCTCGCCCCCTCCCTTGTCACCTCCAAGACTCATCTCAAGACCCTCCTCTTCAACCGTGCTTCCAATCTCCCTGCTTCCCCCACTGCCCTCCACCCTGCCCCACCCCTACTCCCAGCTCAGGTCCGTAACTCTGTCTGTCCAGCGCCTTGGGACGTTCTACCAACGTGAAAGGTGTTTTACAAATGTAATTTTGTTGTTGTTGTTGTTGCTGACATTCAATTGCAGGAAGTTAGATCTCATCTTGGACTGATGTCCGACAGGCAGTCTGTGAAGACAACAGTGGCCTGGAATCGAGGGTGGAGGCAGAGGTAGAGTTGTGTTTGATCCACATACATGTGGAAGTTGACCCTTTGTCTACAGATGATGCCGCCAATGGGGAGCATATAAAAAGAGAGGGCCAAGGACAGAGCCCTGAGGGACGTCACACATGATGGTGCAGGGGCTGGAGGAAAAGTTTTTAGTGGTTCCAAAGTGGAGACGGTGAGAGAGGTAGGATTCGAACCAGGCAAAAGCAAGTCCGCGAAGATTGAGCTGAGAGGAGAGGCCATGTAGGAGGATAGAACAGTTGACAGTGTCGAAGGCAGCAGAGAGGTCGAGGAGGACAAGGAAGCAGAGGGAGCCCTGGGCGCAGATGTTCAAAATGTTGTTAGTAACTTTGACCAGGGCTGTTTCCATGTTGTAGGCAGCACAGAAACCCGATTGGAGGGGTTCAGTGAGGGAATGGCGGGAGAGGAAAGAGCGAAGCTGAGACGTGATGTCTCGTTCCAGGGCTGGAATGATGCAATATCTTCTCTGGAGGCAACAACACAACTGCTTTTACATTCCAGCAGTGTTCGGGCTGTAAGCAGTTGCCATAGTGTGAAGGAAAAGGATATAAAACTAAGCCAGTGTCTGGTCATCCATAGTGAGTGAAATAATTTTAAAAGGCTCCTATAATTCCACTTGCACATTTGTAGTAGTTATATATAGCAATGCATAGAAGGCAAAAAATTTCACCGGGTATGGCTTGTTTGATCATATTATCTTAAAATTTAAGATGGTGCAGGACTGGGGAAAATTGATAAACTCAGAACTCTTGATTTGGAAATCTTTGTTTTTGACAAGTTTGGAAAACCAGCATTGAAATGAAGACTAAATTCAAATGAAGTTTGGAAAACCAGCATTCAAATGAAGACTAAATTTAATAGTTTTCCACAGTTTGCATCATCTGAACTTTTAAGGTAAATTAGTTTCACAGGCTAAGACTGAGTGGAACTCTGAGCTGAATATACTGAACCAAAGTATTCTTGTTACATTCTATTTATTTTGGGAACAACTTTGATATGTGCACTTGCGAAAATGTCATTCACATTTATTCCCCAGTCAATAATATTTAAGAGAAGATGCCAATGCTGGAATTTAACCATGAGTACTTTCAACAATGCTTAGACAAAGGTTATACTGTGTATCTGGGTACCTGGCCGTTCATAAGCAAAATGGCGCATAAAACATTCTTTAAAAACACTGAGCAGTAATGTCAGTACAGTATATTGTGGTCAATTTTATCTGGAAGGAAATAGAAAATGCAATGTTCCCAGCTAATGCGATTGATCTTCAGCAAGTGAGTGCTTCAGTGAGCTGTATTACCTTAGTGTATAGAGCACTTTTCCATTATTCCAGATTCGTAGCAATCGATTGGGAGTTGTTATCCAGTGAGCATCTGATTTTCTAGAGTTTCGAAAAAATGTGTCTGGGATCCAGATTTTGCCGACCATATTGCTATTTAACATGAGAACTTTCATGCTACTGTTAAACTGCAGTCGGCTGTCAGACCACGATTGCGCAAAAAATATGTCGATGGTATATTCCTGAAAAAAATTATAAATGTAATTTTAGATTTTGATATGTACTGACTGTGTTTGACATCTTACTGTATTAAGCTGATCAATGCATTTGGTTCAGCATTTTGGGAAGTCTTCCTGACGTGAAAGGCTCTATATGTAATTTGTTTTAATTTGTTGTTGGTCAAAGTATTGCATTTGAACGCCATCTCTACTGGAGTCCCTCCTACTCGCTCACTCCCTCCCCAACCATTTCGCTTCCAACCCCAGGTTGGGTGTTCATCCAGCACTGTCAAACCATTTGAATGCCTTCCCAATGCGAATGGAGCTATATCAATGTAAATTGTATTAAAACATTATGTCATGGCAGCTACTCCTGGCAGCTTGATAACTTTAACATACCTCCAGACCATTTATAAACACTGCTTTCTGTGTAAATTGCCCTCAGCTTTCAAACAAACTCAAGATTGAGAAAAAAGGGCTTGTATTTTATGTAGAACTTTATTTTGTTGGAACATCTTAAAGTGCTTCAAAGGAATAATTGTCAAGTGAAGTGACTGTTTTTGTAAGGAGTTGCGGCTGCTGATCTATACATACCAACTTCCCACCAACAGCAATGAGGTGAATGATCACTTAATCTAAAGGTTTGTGGCCTGGGACATTGGGAGAAATTCCCTTTTCTTTTCCAATAAAGAACTTCCATTCTGTGGAGTCCTGTAGTTCAGTGGTTAGAGCACTCATCCTGCAAGCGTAAGACCTAGTTTTGATTCCTGGCATGGAATAATGTTGGGCAAGTTTCCTTACTCCACATGCCTCTGTTTACCCAGCAGTAATTAGGAACCCGGTAGTCGATTGGCAGATCGCTATTATGGGGGCAATAATTACTTTTAAAAAATAAATTGGTCATTCAATCCACGTCTGTTTGTGGGACACTGTGATGCGCAATTGGTCACCGCATTTCGCCCACAAAATATACAGTAAATTCACATTACAGTATATTCTGTGAAGTGCTTTAAGGCGTCTCAAAGATGTGATAAGGCGCTGTGTCAAATGCAAGGATTATTATCAGTAAGTAGTAGTATCATGGACAATGGTCAAATTGACAACTATGGGGAGTGAGGATGATGATGCTGGTTTGTAAATTTACTGGGTATATGCTCACCTGAAGTTAAATTTAGCGTTCAATGGAGAATCAGACCACACTGAAATATAAATATGTTATTTCACACTCCCCAAAATTTGTTTTTCTTTCGACACCAAGTGAATTGCTACCACAAACTTTCTGTCTCTGGGTTTTGTTTGACAAGGCAATTTTGTGACTGCAAATAAAAACCATGTTAGAAAATAATTCTTCTGTTTCACACACATCTTGGAATGGAATGGGAATAATGGAACAAAGACAAACATTAATCATTTTCCATGTAAACTACTCATTTTAAGTTTGTAGGTTATACATTGTCACCTGCTCAGTTTAATCCGGACACTCGGATGTTTAACTGGAGTGACTGCTTAAGCAATTTGTGACCTGACATCTCTACCATGTTTTCTTTTTGATACGGAGGCATTATTAATTCAAGATTTAATCATTAATAAAATAATCTTTAGAATTCATGCAACAAACCTATATCATTTAGATTTGGTAAAAGGTGGCAATAATAAAATGAGTACATATTTCATTCTTTTTGTTAGAAAACCGTAATATTCATAAGAGGAGCCACAAATAGTGAATGCCAAAATCCCAAAGGTATCACACTGACCCAGGGAAAATGTAATCTTTTATCCGAGATCCCTTCCAGCCAGAGGCCTGATTTATTTCGGGTGCTTTCTCAATACAGATAATGTTTTTTGCCCCCATTCTATCTTGTGGTTAATACGAATATGCTTTATTTCAGCTGATTTCAAGGACTAGAAGCACAATGGAATTGTAAATGTATTCGTATAAAACACTTGTAAGGCTAAACAAACAAGTAAACCAGGAATTCCTAACATATCTCCTGTTAATCAATTTTCCGTGACCTGATTCAGAGTGGAAATATGTCTCAGAGAGATTCAGTCTCCTTCTGTTTCCGTTTCTCACTTCCTCCGTTTTAATTATGTTCTGGAATTTGACCCTCCACCAACTGCTGGAGACACCAGACGGCCACAGCAGTGAGTTTTATGTAAAATATTAATTTGGCTTTACGTTAATTAGTGTGCTCCTAGACTCATTCAGGGGCCACAAATCCAGCTCTCAATGGGTGGTAGGTTGAAAATCTCTGATCTATAAATGTTTAAAACATTTAACCAAATGAAACAGGACACGGATGGCTGGAGCACAATCTGTTTAAACGCTTGTGTCTTTCACAGCCAGGGAGAAAGTCAAAACCCACTGATGCCCATCGGTTTTCAGTGGTTGAAATGTAGCAATGTTTTCTGCAATTATTTCTGACATCTTATTTACTTTGCACTTGTCTGCAACTAATCTTTAAATCATCACAAAGCAATTGTGTGTTCCATAAACAGCAACAGTGCACCGAACATCGTGCTAAGATTGGGTCTTCTATTTTACTATACACACCAGATCTGGATTTCCATAGGATCATACTATAAAGAGGACTAGGAGACATGTACGTGCACTGAATGTAGTGCAGGAATCTCTCTCAGCATCTACTGCTAGTATTAGCAGTGGAAACCTGCTGGATGAAAACAAGCTTAATATTAATAATTAATAATAATAGGCCTTGAACTTGACATAGCATGTTTCACGGGGTNGGGGGGGTTGTCTCAAGGTGCTTCACAGTAACCAATACATTACACTGCACTGTAATGTGCAGTGACCGTGTATTTCTGTAGGCGAACACAGCAATCAATTTGTGGACAGCAATAAAAAACAGTCTTCTTTATAGTGTAAATAATAAAGAAGATACTGCCAAATAATATATATTTTGTCTGTATTGCATTGTGTATAATACAGATTTGACTTTTACAGGAAAATTACTTCCTAAAAAATATGGATTAAATTCAGGAAATGGGGAATTCAACATAGAGTGGGCCTGTTGGAAGTAACTGGTCCATGCTAGGTCTTTGCTCCCTGATTCCTGTTGTGTGAGGAGCAAAGCACCTTCTAGCTATGGACAGCTCGAGCGAGAGCTATTTGGTTGAATAAAAGGACCTGATATACTATCAGTGGAAGTAGGAGCTGAGGAGGCTGGAGCTGGATTGGCTGGAGTGAGAGAGGGGGCCGGGGGCCATTCTTACAAGGCAATGTACATAGGAATTCAGAATTCAATATAAACAACATATAGTCAGCAGAAAAACTAATAAATGCACGTCACAAATGTCAGGTACACCAAAGTCAGTTGTTCATTGACAAAAAAAAATCAGTCGACTCGAAAGAATTCTGACAGCCAGAATTGCTTTCACCAATACAGCTTCAATTGCCAATTGGATGGAGAATCCAAACACTTTCAAACCTTTTAAATCCATTATTCATCTCTGAAGAGGGCAAAGTCAACTTGGAAAATCCAAAGTTCATGATGAATGCTTTTTGGACAAAAAAAAAGCATCTGGTATTAATCCTGAGAAATAACAATTTAAATACTCTTTTTTCTATAAATGTTCCACACAAAACAGACCATATATTAGCATGTCTGCATGGAAATAGAAGAGTGAGAACGTGTGAGGTCTGCACAGACAGTGAGATAGGCACAAACAGTGAGATTCAGCCTGATACATGTTGTGCACATGATGATAGGCTGTATTTTCCAAGAATAACTCATTCAAGTACCAGGACAGCATAAATGGTTACCAGGATGCTAAAACAGATCTTAGATAAAAATAGGATAATGAGCTACATTTTGTTTCAAAAAATGCTATTTATTGGAAGTCTATTTATTGGAAACAATTTGAAAAATCCACCAAAACGCTATTATTTAATTGGCGAGAAATTTGGATCTGCAATGAAACAATAGACATGAGATGAAGGTCTTAAAAATAAACAAAACTTATATCAACAGCATAATGTGTAGGTGCATTCTATCTCAAACAGCACAAGGCTAGATTTTGTTCTTGACTGCCTCAAGTGGCCGGAAATACTGCCAATGGCAATGCCATTGCCGGACTGGTGGGTGATGGTAACAAAAGCTTTGAATTTCTCCCTATCCCCCGCCCCTCCCCTCACACAAAAAAATAAAGAACAGGGGTCAGTGGTAGGAAAGTGTTGTTAGACCTCAGAGGATGTGGTGCCAATTCATAGGAGTATAGAAATAAGAGTAGGCTATTCAGCCCATTGAATCTGTTCCACCAATTTCTCAGATATTCTCCATTCCCTATTTTCTCTCCATGCATAGCCCTTAATACTCTAATTTCCCAAGTACATGTATCTGTTTATCTCTTTGTTAAACATCTCAGCTGATTCTGCATCTACAGCCTTCTGTAACCCTGCATGGCTAGAAACATGCTAGGAAAGTTGGAATAGGAGCAGATCATTCATTGTGTTGAACCTGGTCTACCAGTTTATTAGATCATGGTAGATTGTTTCCCCTATATCATTTAACATCCTTATTATCTAATCTAATAACCCTATCTATCTAATAACCCTTTAGGTGTGGAAATGTTTCTTCATTTCATATCTAACAGATATGCTCCAATGTTAAGATGATTTCCCCTTATTCTGAATCCGTGAACCAGAGAAGAGAGTTGTCCCCATCCAGCTTGCAAAACTGAAGGTCAACCGGTGGATCTAACAAATAGTTCCTGATTATCACTTTCATGACAGTGGAGAACAGTCCAGAGAAGTAGGAGTTATTTCTACCTTAGCAATTGGCAAATTTTGGTTGTACAAATGTATATAATCCAGAGACCACCTATCCCCACCCCCCACCCACCCCCAGAAAAAAACTCCAATGATCAAATGGATATATCTGTCCCAGAGTCTCCCAGTACCATTAATAACCACAAGCAGCTATCTAGATAAACAAATGTCAAGAAAACACATTTTAACTTTGGAACTCCACCCCACAGCCCTTCCCTTGCCTCCTTTATGACCCATTTCAAGACCCTCCTCTTCGATCATGCTTTTGGTCACTCTTCCCCCTATCCCTACTCTCCCCGTCCTCCAACCCTCCTGATCCTAACTACCAGCTCGGGTGTGGATCCCTGTCTGTCAGGCGCCTTGGGACGTTCTCCTGATGTAAAAGGCGCTATACAAATATAATTTCTTGTCGTTGTTTAACAACTTTTTAAACATCATTTGAACCATTTGTTCTTGTTCTTCTGGTTGTAATGCAAAAAAAACCAGCTACCTGTCTGCCTTGATAGTGAGGAGCCTTTTGGCATGATGGGGAAATATGATTATACATGTGCAAAGGACCTGTGCAATGAGCACTCTCATGATTTATTTTAAAATGTACAGGTAAACCTGGTCAAAGTGATAGGATGAAGCCCAGTTTAGATGGTTGATAACGTGAGTTGAATGAGCCTAAACCTGTTAAATTTAGTAACAGGTAGTAACAGTAGCTTTTTTTTTTGCATTAAAACCAGAATTTAGTGTGTTTCAATAAATCTCTCATTTTGCATAATATAGATCTGGGAACTTGACATCAAAAGTGAAATAGGTAAAGAGAGTGAAATTTTCTTTTCACCAAACTGACTACCAAGAGGAAAATCTAGCCTGTATCAAGGCACAGATATGAAATGTAAACATGCAAATCATATCATTAGTGATTTGGTCCTGCAGGTCAAGGTAGTGTAGAAATAGTGCAAAGTGGTTGTGACCTGCACTGGATAAATTGGTGTGAAAATGGGACTTTTAACTTTTTTTTAAAAAAAGTGAAAAATATCAAAGTTCTTAAGATGTACTTGCCTTGTAAAAAGTAATTGGCATTTCTGAAAAACAAATATTTATCATGAAGTGCAACAAAGTAAGTTTCAACAAATATTTCCTTTATTTAAATATTCATTCGTTCCATCGTTCATACCTTCATTCATTCATTCAATCAATCACCTTTATAAAAGCTCAACAGTAACCAAACATTACCAAACACCCTATGAAACAGTGTGTTAATTCAACAGTAAAGTAGGTAAAGAAGCAAACAAGTATAACAGAAGAAAACGTTTCAAACATGAGCATATCCTTTCGTGGATCTTTGCAGAAAGATTGACTTACCATGTTAATGGCATCGACTGGCCCAATGCTGTTCACGTAGATGTCTGTTTCAATCACTGTTGGCCTCACTGCAATTTATCACATTTCATATTGTAACCAAAGAAAAAACAAGATACATTTATAGCTTGAAAATGCTGAGCCCAAGTCATAGAATCACATGAGAGTGAAATTTCACCTGGGTCTAAATTTATTCTATTTTCTTACCATTTCAGAGCTGGCAGAATTTGGCAAAATTGTTGAACTCAGTCTTAATATACACAGACTTAAGAAAAAATAACTTGCTTCAAAATGAAGGCTGTATTTTTAGAATTTACCATATTCTGGACATTCTGAAATGCTAAAGGATAGAATAAATCTAAACCTGGCTGGAATTCCCCCACCCACACCCCCGCTCACCACCCCCCAAAATCAATATTTATCTCATCATATCTCCACTGATGTCAGCTTACTAACATCCACTTATCAAATCCTTTCATAATTATAAACAGCTCCATCAGGTTCACGCTCAATTGTCTTATCTCTGAGAGAAAATATCTAATCTATCCAATCTTTATTGATCACTGTATCCACTCATCTCTGGAAACATAGTGGGCGTAGTAGTAAATTATGCTGCACTCTCTCCATTGTTAAAATATCCTTCATGTACCAAAATTGTGCACAGTATGCAATCAAAATGCAGTCTAACCAAGTTTTTATATAAAATTAACATAAATTCCCTACTTCTGTACTCTATTCTTTTGGACATAAAGCATGTTATGGTCTTGTCCATCTGTGCTACTACTGTTAAGAGTTTGGGGAATCTGAATCTCTCGATCCCTTTGCTCCTTTTCCCCTCTTATGTTCCTGTCATCCAGAATGTGGTCAGTTTCTTTATTTTTCCTACCAAATACATGGCAAGTCAATAGTTATCAACCGCTGATAATTGTCATATCAAATTGATTATGAACCATTACATAATTACCCCTACCCTCATCAAAGCAATGAAGTGTATCAATGAAGATAATTCAGTCATTTCCATTGTTATCGTGCTGGTTTATAAACAACAACTTGCACTTGCTTGAATTCTAAAACCCTGACTGGCGGGACCAACTGGGAGGAGATCTGGTCTGATGAGTGGGAATTTTCGGCTAAGAGTAATTACAATGACGGTACCAGTATTTGTCAGTATTTTTCAACAAGATGAAGCAGGGGTGTGCGCTGAGAGTGGGCTGGGAGGAGTCTACATGCACACAGGCCCGTGAAATTGTTTTTAAATTTCCGTTTCAGGCCTAGTCTTGCTAAGTACGAAAATGTCTCAAAGCACTTCACAGAGACAGAGTGGGACCAACCAGGGTTAAAAGTGTGGAGGGTGAAGTTGGAGAGTGGTGACTGAAAGCACACTGAAAGAGGTGGATTTTTGGAAGGGATTTGAAAGCAGAGAGGGAAGATTTGAATGTTGAATTGTCCTCCCCCAGGCTCGGAGTTATGCTCGACCACTGTCAAGCGCTCCAGGACCCTACCCTACGTGAGGGGTGCTATATAAATGCAAGTTGTTGTTGAATATTTCAGTGAAAGCAAAATTTAATTTCTGCTTTCTGGAATCTTCTGTGGTTCCCTCCAAAAAAAAACAATAATAAATTGGTCATTTTCAATCCACGACTGTCTGTGGGACACTGCCGTTCACAATTGGCTGCCGCATTCGCCCACAAATATACAGTCAATTCACTTTACAGTATATTCTGTGAAGCGCTTTGGGACGTCTAGAAGATGTGAAAAGCGCTATATCAAATGCAAGGATTATTATTATTATTATTATTATAACCCTCTCCCTTGAGCAGAAGGAGAGGATTCCAGAAAGCAGAGGCAAAATTTTGCTTTCGCCAAAATATTTTATATTTTTTTCTTATGTAACCAGGATTTATGATTATTTTGACAATAAAACAGCCTCATGAACCTTTAGAGAGATGATAATATTTATCTGCATTGGTATCAATACTATTGCAAGATGTTTGGCTTGTGTTCTCTGTTATAGAAGGACCAAATGCTTCAAAAGATCAATTTCAATTTTAAGAAAGGACATCGGCTCTTTAGGAACACTGAAACAAATTTATGGCATAAATGTCCAGAACTAGTTTTATTTTTACGAAGTGTGTCTGTTTCTAAAATATGTGGGATAATCTATATACCGTGCCAGATTCAGTCCTTTTGAACTGGAGCCAACAATGTGCAATTATCAGTAACAACGCTAAAAGGCTTTGATGACTTAACAATGATTTTGAGCTCTTGGTAAAAAGATTAGTTAAAATGTTAGATTAAATTTAAACAGATGGTTAAAATGAACCAAGACATAGTCTTCTTATCTAATTTATTCTTTCTTTGGACCATAATTCAAAGTTTAGAAAGTCCTGAACTTAAATGAGCAGTAAACAACTGTTATTTAATAATAGTGAACGTTTTAAAATATTTGCCAGAAAAAGAATGTGTTCTATTAAATCAGACTACAGTATTTAATATGTTGATAAATTCCTTCACATTCATTGAATTGTCTTCCTATCCCACATTGCTGGATGCTTCCATTCACAAAGAACTACGGTTGCCTCTTACATTTTCGGCAGTGACAATACATTGCCAAAGACAAATGCTTCCTTCTGTCAAGCTGTTACAACTTTCTTAAGGGAGTCACTCCACATCCCTCCTGGAAGCAGCCACTATTTCACTGTGCTCAATTGTACAATACTTACTCAGCCAATTATCACTACCAATCTTCCCAAAGGTATAATTTCCTTTTCCTGCCCTCCCATAAGCAAAAATAAAACAAATTAGACCAAATCATCTTTAAAATAAGCATCAGCAGTTAGTGCAATCTCCACCAACTGTGACTCGTGATACCTTTAACATGACGTGTCACCACAGAAGGTTGACTACATTGACTAAGCTGCAATCTTGCACAGAAGCACATTTCAAAGATGGGCTTGCTCCGTGCATCAAAAGGTTATAAATAACAATTCTGCTCATCTGGATTGCAGATGTATTCTTTTTCATTACTTTACTGCTGGTTCATTTCAATAATGAGGGTCTGAATATTCCGATTTAACCATGAGGCAAATTAAATTGTCCATTCATCTTGTGCCAAAATGTAAGTAGGGAATGTATTATTCAGCAATCATGCACACACTTGTTGTTTATTGCTCCTATTAAACAATGACTCAATCTGGTAACATTGAATTTCCCAAACTTAAAACAATTAACTTGATAATGTATCAAATGAATTTTTTTTTGAACATTATTCAACAACAACAACTTGCACTTATATAGCTCCCTCCACAGTGGGCAGCATCTCAGAGCGCTTAACAATGGTAGAGCCCAAAGCCGAGCCAGGGGGAGGGGGAAGGTGACCGAAGGCACGGTCGAAAAGGAAGGTCTTCAGGTGCGACCTGAAAATGGGAAACGAGGGGGCAAGGTGAAGGGATTGAGGGAGGGAGTTCCAAAGTTTCAGAGTGTAGTGGCTGAAAGCACAGTCGCTGATGGTGGAGCAGAGGATTTGGGGGACGTGGAGGAGGCCGGAACCAGTAGAGCAGAGGCAGTACTGGGTACTGCTGTGGGGAGAAAGGAGGTTAGAGAAGGGAGGGGGGTGCCAAGGAATGGAGGGATTTAAACACTAGAGTGAGGATCTTGAAGTCGAACCTGACGCCTAAGTTTTGCACAGGTTCAGAGAATTTTAAAGACAGATTGGGTAGGTTGAGAAGGTCGGATCTGAGGGCCAGAAGATGTCGGCGGGAGCCAAACAGTATGGCTTCAATCTTGTTGATGTTTGACTGCAGGAAATTTGTGCTTATCCAGCTCCTGATGTCTGACAGACAAACTGACAGGGACCGCAGCTGGAGGTGGAAAAGTAGAGTTGAGTGTCATCCGCATACATGTGGAAGTTAACCCCACGTCTGTGGATGACATCACCGAGAGGGAGCATATAGATGAGGAAGAGAAGTGGGCCGCAGGTGACTGGGTGGAAGAGTATATGTTGGTTCAAGAGTATATGCTGTCTGATTATTTGTGATTCGCCTCTGAGCAACTGGAATGGGTTGCATCCAATTGCATTCTGAACTCCAACTTGTGTACTCGGAAAATGGGGGACTTTGCTCTGGCAGTAAGTGTTGCCTGCCACTTAGACAAAGTCATCTATCTGCACAGCCACAAAGTCATTCATTGCTCTCCTGTAACACAGGCCATGCAAATGAAGAAGCAGAATGAAGACTGGTGGGATTGGTCATGGGAAAATGCTGATGCATTTTATATCTCTGAAGCTCTATTCCAGAGTCCTTCCTACTCATTCCCTTCCTCCCCTCATTCAAGGCATTTCTCGGAATGTACCTCCTTGATCACTTTTTCAGTCATTATTTCCCCTCCCACCCTAGCTTGGATGTCCATACAGTTTTGTCAAGTGCATTGAGATATCCTCCTGACATGAAAGGCATATTATAAGTGTAAATTGCAAACTTATCTAATAATTATAATACTTCTTCAGTGTACCACAAAACATTGTTGTTCATCCCTTTCAAGCCTTGTCCTTTTGCTGAACAATCCTAATAATTCTCTGTCTTCTATACTGATTGCAAATGATTCCCCTGCAAGCATGCACAGGTTATATTGATATTGAACAGACATTAGGATTGGCAATGAGAAGCTTTGCTAATGCAGGATCTGCTGAGTGATGAGGTCACTCCAAAGGGCCTTGGGCAGTACCTGGTGGGGAGGGGGGTGTGTTTGGAGCTTGGGCTGGATAAAAGCTGTAACCAACCCCTAGGCCAGTTTCTGGCTCTGTGACTAATGACATAAGCCTCTGGTTCTGTGTTGCCAGGGAAAGCAAAGGAAGCCTGAGGGCAGCCATATGACAGACTGGGTGATTCCAAAGGAGGCTCTGTGGCCATTGAAGGGGAGCAACTGAGAGATAAGAGACCGAGTGCCTTGTTGTGGTGGGAATCATGAGCAAAAGCAAGGCATAAGAGAGGATGGAAATGTCAAATTATGAACCCAGACCTTGCACACCTCCGGCTCGTTAGTATTGTCTACAGGGTGCTGAAGACTACAGAGGTCCTCGCTGTAGTAGTACACTGTGACGTGCCTGCCAATGGAATCAACCCAGCTCTCTGTGGCGGTCTCAGTAATCTGGTGCCTGAGCCAGGTGGGTCTGCAGTATTCCAGGACACTGCTGATGCAGCACAGTTAGCCTGGCTCATCAACAGGACCTGGAAGGATAGACCAGTGCATTGGGGGCAGGGAGTCATCCTACTCAGCTCTTGTTAACCCTGCAATCCAAAACCCTAACTGGTAGGGTGGTCCTAGCTGGACAAGCGGCAAAAAAGCTTGCCTGGCAGCAATATCAATGGCAAGGTATGCGGTTTTAGCTGTTAAGACTCTAGCAGTCCCCAACATACACTCTGGGGTCGCTATGCCTTGGCAACACTTTCCGGAATTAGGTAAGCAGGATGTGTCCCTCCAGGGAGAGAGTGTGTGTACCATTCCAACAATCTATCTCTGTGATTTCCATGTGGGATGGTAGGATGCTTTGAAATCTCAGCTTGGTTTGGATACTTTTAAGCATGGTGATGGGTTTCCAAATCTGTCTGGCACCCGGCTGACCAAAAGGTATACCTAGTGAACCAAGTCTCTTTCCCTGTAAGTTAAGTATCTGTTTGGTTCTGATGGTTCATCTTCATGGTGCAGGAGTGGGATTTTCCGGGTTTGGGGATGAGCAAAAGTAGGAAGTTACATCCAAGAGAGTGGCTGGTGAGTAGAGCCTGAGAAAGAGGTTGGTGAGAGGAATCTATGAGAGAGGCTGGTGAGAGGAGTCTGTGACTGCCAACCTGCCCGCTCCCTCCATTCATCGGGCTCCGGCCTGCTCCATGTCTCCCGCCAGATCCACCCTACCACCAGTGGCCGGGCTTTCAGCCGCTCTGCCCCCACACTCTGGAACTCCATCCCACGGTCCCTTCGCCTCACTTCCTCCCTCGCATCCTTCAAGGCCGGTCTCAAGACCCTTCTCTTCGACCGTGCCTTTGGTCTCCCTCCCACCTCTCTGCCTTCCCTCACCCCTACACCAACCCTCCCCCATGCTTGGGCCCCGACACCTGACTGTTCAGTGCTTTGGGATGTCCTACCAACATGAAAGGCACTCTTATCATTTTTTGTTGTTGTTGATGTTGAGAGAAGCTGGTGAGAGGAGCCTGTGAGAGAAGCTGGTGAGCGAAGCCCAAGTACAGAGACTGCTTTAGTCAGTGGAGACATAACCCAGATTGGGCAAAACTAACTTCAGCATTCTTAACTTCAGTCTTAATTGGCAAGACTGGCAAGACTTAAGACTTCAGTCTTAATTTTCCACAGTTCTTAAAAAGGCTTCAATATAATAGTGACTTCTAAAAATTTTCCACAAATCTGCGTGATGTTAAATTTTAAGATAAAACAGTTTTACAGACTAAAACCAATTGGAATTTTTGGCTTCTGGTGTTAGTTGCTTCCTTGTATTTGCCTTGTCGCATGCTACTGAGCCTCACTCCCTGATGTGCTCTTTCTACTGTACAATGTGACCATTTTTTCCAAATGGATGGAAGGAAAATGCTTTTTATGTAATTACACAGAATAGCATAGACAGCTGTAATTCACCCCAGTCATCCATATCTGTAACTCTTTCAATTTTAAATTTAAAAACTTGAAGTGGGTTGAGTCATGTTTTTGGATGATTTGGGTTTTCTCACAGTACCTTTTGGAATAACAAGCCTGTCATCTGTAAAGTAGACATAATTTCTACTTTCTAATTGCATCCACCTATACAAGAGCTCTCTTATCTCAATTGCCCATTTACATGAATCACATCTGCTACCACAGGCCACAAGGGAAGTCCCCATAATCTTGCTGGGTGATATATACAATTGCATAGATTATTCAAGCACAGAACAGGCCATTCAGCCTAACTAGTCCCTGTAGGTATTTATACTCCACATCACTCTTCCGAACCCCTCTATTTCATTCTCCCTCATGTATGGATCAAGTTGCCTGCATTTTGGGATGTCCTCCTGATGTGAAAGGCAGTATACAAATATTTGTTGTTGTTGTTGTTGCCCCTCAAATGTATTGACACTCTCTACTTCAACCACAGATTCTAGCTGTGCGTTCCACATTCCCACCAACCATTGTATAGAAAAGTTCCTCCTAAGCTCCCCTTTTATATCTGCTGGAAGCTTTATTATATTTATGGTCTGTTTTTTGCACTCACGAACAAGTGGAAACAGCCTATTAATGTCCACCTATTCAAATCCTTTCATAATATTAAATACCTCTATCAAATCCGTCTCCACTCTCTCATCTACAGAGAGTGATAACAAATTAACAATTTAAATAAAAACTACATCTCAATTGAATAATAAGAGAGTGAATTGTCTGTTTTAGTGACAAACACACCTGATGTTAAAACCATGTTGAAGTGTTTATTACTTCAGCAATGTGATGGGAATTCATATAGGTTTGAATATTTGAGTAAAAAATACTGAAAGAAGGAATGCCAACTTGGGTGGAAGAGAGCTGTTCTAGCAAAGTTTCTTGTGTTTCATCTCCAAATTCTGGGATTAACATTACTGAATGTTTATTCAGAATTTTGATGCATTAATTTGTCCATTGAAAATATACTAAATATTATAATAATAATAATCCTATAATAATAATCCTTGCATTTGATATAGCGCTTTTCACATCGGGAGGACGTCCCAAAGCGCTTCACAGAATATACTGTAAAGTGAGTTGACTGTATATTTGTGGGCGAACGCGGCAGCCAATTGCGCACAGCAATGTCCCACAAACAGTCATAGATTGAAAATGACCAATTTATTATTGTTTTTGTTTTTTGGAGGGATTATTATTAGGCGTGTGGAGTAAGGAAACTTGCCCAAGGTTTCGCCCTGACCTGCCTGGAATTGAACTCAGGTCTCTCGCTTGCAAAGCGAGTGCTCTAACCACTGAGCTACAGGACTCCATGCTAGCTTTAAGTTTATTGGACTGTTCAGATATATCAACTTTTTAAATATTTTACCATTAAAATTAGTATTATGGAGATGGTATTGTGAAACAGAACCTTCTGACTGTAAGGAGAAGAGATCAACTTCTGTCTTCATATAATAACAGACTGAGAGTCTGTTATATTTTATGCAGAGAACCATAGAAATTAACAGCACCAAAAAAGTTCATTCTGCCTATTGTGTCTTTGAAAGAGCAATCTATTCAGTCCCATTTACCTGCCTTTTCCCCATACCCCTTCAGATTATTGCTCCTTAGATATCTAAGAATGACTCTCTCTGTCCAGTTTTCTCCTGACATGGATACTGCCTCATCCACCACACCCAGAAGGCCATTCCATGTCATCTTTTATATTGTGGACTGCTTCAATAAATATTTCTGTAATAACTGGAGATCTCAAGTTCATTAAATCCTCTCTGTTTATACTCCAAAGTTCATTCCAAAGTATTGATACCAATGCAAATAATACACATTTTAAAAACAAAACTTGCCTCCCATATCTGGTCTAAGTTTGTTATCATATCCTTTAAGTAAGGTGTTCAGGATATTGGTGACATCACTTTCATGGACTCTTGGTGCTAGGACCCATGTCTTATTCAGTGCTGTGTCTTCATAATCTTCATCTTCCACTTTGTTTGCACTAGACACATAATAAAACGACAATTAAATAAAATCACAGAAATTGATAGCACAGAAAGATCTCATTCAGCCCATCAAGACTGTACCAGCTCTCAAAGCAAGCAGTACTTACAATCCCATTGGCTTTTCTTAACCCCAAATCCCTTCAAGCCTCTGACTTTCATATATATCACCTCCTTCCCTCTTGAAACCCATCATGGACTCTGCCTCTACCTCTAAAATTGCCAAGGCACATCACATCCCAACAAATCTGTGAGTAGAAAAAGTTCTAGCTATTCTTATGACTATCTTATGCACATTAACAAAAGGGCCAAGAATAATTATTATCCTCCCTTTCTCTTTTTATTTCAATGGGGATAATTCTGCTGTTTCAAAATATTAGAGTTCCTTGTGCGTTAGAGCAACTGGATAGAAATATTCTTCCTCATGATTACTTACCATATGAAAGAACCCATGTGATGCTAGAGATTTGAATTTCTATGTGGGTTTAATAGGACATTAGCAAAACCAAATTTATTCTACAAGCGCAATAGTCTTCTGATAGCAGCATTAACAAAGTTATGAGTGAGCTTTCAAGATTTTCCTCCCAGTTGAATATTGTGTATTTTGCAGTCCATCATTGATTTTTCTGCTCATAAAATATGATTTAAATCAACTATTGTTTCTTAACCCTATTTGAATGTAAGACTAGTATTTTAACACCAAGCAACAATTTGCATTTATACAGTGCCTTTCACATCTCAAATAATAATAGTTGCATTTGATATTGTGCCTTATCACATCATCAAGACCTCTCAAAGCACTTCACAGAACATAGTATAAACTGGATTGACTGTGGTATTTTGTGAGCGAAGCTCAGTAGCCAGTTTGCACACAGCAATGTCTCACAAACAGTACTTCCAATAATGCAATACACACCTAGCACTGCAATGGAGTGTCAACTTAGACTAAATTATTCTAAGTCCTACAGAGGGGCTGAACTCACAACTTTCAGATTCAGAGGCAAGAGTGCTCTCACTGAGTTAGGCTCAAAGTGCTTCACAGGGACAGTGTCAGATACTGAGCAAGGGAGGAAGGAGGTAACCATAGGAAAGGTCAAAGAGGTAGGCTTTTAGGTGGGATTCTACCATGCTCCAAAGCATGCCTCATGTCTCTCCAAAATAAATCAGTCACTGCTTGAAAAATCTCTTCCAACAAGGATGAAACTAATTTACACAATCTTCTCATTCTAAGTAAAAAGTGAATATCCCATTAGCAGTAATCCACATAAATAATCTACCTGTAAGATGATTCAACTATTATTTCAACCTCTACCAGGCTTGCTTTATTTATTTTTCCTTCCTGTGACATCCATTCTGTATATTTAGAGGTTCTATCAGTTCACGGTATTAATGAAGGGCAACGGCTGAAATGTAAGCTTAGTTTCTCCATTAGAAACATTTTAATTTGTTGTCGACTTACAGGAATTGTTCTCTTTGTTTCACATTTTCAGGAGTATTACCTCTTACGGTTTCTGAGAAAGAACATTACAAATAATGACAGATAGCATGTGTCAGCCTGACTCTGAGTAGAATTATGTGAATTCAAGTGTCAAATTGGGGAACAAATAGCTCACGATCTAGGTTGACACTTCAATGCAATGTTGGGGGAGCACTGGATTATTGGAAGTGTCGTTCTTCAGATGAGATGTTGAAACCAAGATTCTATCTGCCTGTTCAGGTTGAAACCCAAATGCCATTTGAAAAGAGAAGGGAGTTTCTCTCAGTGTCCTGGTCAAGAGTTCTTTGCTGTGTGCAAAGTGGCTGCCTCAGTTGAATGCAAAATACAATCACTACACTTCACAAGAATTACTGAAAAGTGCTTTGAGAGATTTCAACTTTATAGGCGCTATATCAAATGTAAGGAGTATTATTATGTACTGCTGCGTTTGGGATTTATAGGGAGACTGGCAAAAGCCAACACTGCAAACCTTTCCACAGTCAAAGCTAAAAGTTGGGTATAAATAATCTGAATCAAAACAGCTTTGTGTTAAAAGATGTGTTTGTTCCTTGAACGGGCTCAGAAATGCTGAGATCAGCGATGACAACAGTTTCAGGACACTGCTGGCTGGCTCAGTAGCTGCAGCAGCAACTTTGGGCACAACCATATGAATGGAGTGAAAGAGAGGGTTGAATGAGGGAGGGGTTGTACATCATAAGCCCCCATAATGTCACATTGTGTATAGATGTCAGCAAGTCTCTCTGGCAGCTTTGATGTCAACACTTCCATTGAAATTCATGTCATTACCATTCTTGATAGAACTGAACCAACACCAACTGAAAATAAGAATAGAACAAGAACAACAACAACTTGCATTTGTCTAGTGCCCTTCACTAGGTACAGTCTGGGAATGCTTAAGGATGGGATGAGGCAGAGAGCTCCAGAGTCTCAGGGCATAGTGGCTGAAAGCATGGCTGCTGAGGGTGGAGTGGAGATTCATGTAGGAGGCCAGAACAGCTGAGTGAAGGGGACAAATAGTAAAGTGTAGTGTAAACAGGTCAAAGAGGTCGGGAGGTACTATATTTGGTTATCACCATTTGGCGGGCAAAACACACTCACTTTTCTCCTATATTAGAAGACGTGAAGAAGAAACAAAAAGACAACAATTTAAGAAATTAAATACAATAAATTAAAGGGCTCAGGGAGGAAATAGGATGATAGTGCAACATGATGCTAGAAGGAAAATACTAGTTTATCAGAGAAATATAGTGCAAAAAATGAAAATCAGTCAAGCTTGGCATTTATTAAATACATTCTGCAATGACTTTATAAGAATAAATTATCCACTTGTCATTACATGACCCCACTCATTTACATTGTTCTTATTCATTAAAAATATGAACATGATTGACACCATGTTATGCTTGAAATGTGTAACAGCTTTGCTCGTGGCAGTTTACTGATGTGGAACAGAGAGCTAGGTTTATACAGCGAGCTATACATTATTTTCAATCAGGAAACAACAAATATCCAATTTATTTTTGATGTTAGAAAGAGCCAAATGCGTGATTGGCTCTTTACTCATGTTAAAAAATGCTCTCTTCAAAGTTTGCAGTCTGTACAATCTTTGAAAGGGGCCTGAGGAAGCACATTGAATTAACAAACTGTTTAACAGTATAGCTTGGGATCTCGGTGCTTCTCAAAATTGCTGGTAAGCAAATTTACCACACAATATATTATGCAAATGCTATGAAAGTTGCTCTGCTGTTAAATCAGCCCAACACCTACGGTGACAGCAATTTGCTCGGTAGGGACTCTGAGCTTAATTTTTTTTGCAGTATGGGGCAAATCATGTTGTCCAAACATAAATCTCTTAACTGTTTGCAGATAATTAACAATTTTTTCACAAAGTAGCATTTTACTGAAAGAATGATTCAGTATGATCCTGTGAGACTATGTATAGTAATCCTTCTGCTATAATTACAGTAAGTGGAATGAATTCATCAAGCAGGCAATTTCTGGAGATACGTTTTGCAGATGCTACAAAATGTTGCACATTCCAGTTTGCATCAGATTTGTTGCAATTTACATATAACAGGATGAGAGGGAATAGTCGATAAGTGGTCTTGATACGATCATAAGTACTGTATCTTACAACATCAACTTTTTTGCTGAGACCTTGTGCAATTGCTTGGGAGATTAAATCAGAATGACTTGTCATTATCTCCAGGCTCTGAACACAGTACAATGGTTCATTTTTTTGGAACAAGACATCTTCAAGTTCTCACAGTAATGAAGTGATAAACTCGGAGGTGGATTTCTATACCATGACATTCTTGTGTGTTATGGCCTTGTACTTGTAATGAAAAGTTACTGCCTACAGGTTCTCAAATTAAATTTGAAAACATAACTGTAAAAACACCTGTTCTTTTCATAGCCTCTATTGTTCATTTGAGACAAGTATTATCTCTCAGACAGTCCATATTACGTGGCTAGTATGCAGCATGCCAAGTTATACTGCATTGTTGTTTGCTCCTTCTCAGAATCTACATTAAGATCTAATAAGTGGTGACTTCTAACATGACTGCCTAATGTATTATAACTCAATCCAAAATCGTGTTACTATAAGCTTCTTTATTTGTCAATCCAAACACTCATAAATCCACCTCTCTAAACCACACACCCTTTGTCCCACTCCTAGTGTCCTTCTGTACTTCCTGCCCTTCTTATTATTCTGCCTTTTATTATTTGTTAATTTACTGTGAAAGAAGTATCCAACACCCAATGAAGAGAAAGAATGGGGACTCGTACTGGTAACTGGAAGTAGGTCATAAATATTAGGCTGAACCACAAGAAATTGCTCCAAAAGTAGATGGTTTCAGAACAGAGTTCCTATAAGCCAGTGTGAGCATGCTTCTGGTTTCTTCATCAAAGAAATTGCAGCTTATTAGACACTATTGACAGGCTCGGATGAGAAGGGTTATCAAAAATTGCATTTTCAAGCTCCTAAGTTCTCTTCAACTACCAATCTTGTTAATAGATGTGTGAATGAACCTATACTACACCTATTGAAATCAGACAGTTTTTCAAATTTGGAAGCACTCTTGTTGGGCATTGTGTTAGACCTTGTTTCCATTAATGCACAAGGATTTAATAGCTGGACAGATACGTAGTGGTACAGGAATAAAACAGGATGGTATTGGGATTAAAATATTTGCCAAGGTCCAATAAACTTGCTGGCTGAATGGCCTGCTCCTGTTTCTATTTTCCTACAGTCCTAGCCTTTCTTATCAATGGGTCTATTATGTGCCATGTGTAAAATGTATAGAGGGAATTATAGATGCCATTAACTAGCCAATAATCCTTGCCAACAATCCCGCAAATAAAACAAAGGTCACTCTCACTCCTTGGGAGTTGTGGGGCATTGCCGTGTGCAAACTGACTGCCATCTTTGGCCACAAAATGCACAGTCACATCACTGTATCCTGTGAAGCACTTTGAGACATAACAAAGACATGATAAGGCTCTGTATCAAATGCAAGGATTATTATAAATGAATCCCCCTTGAGGTGCCTACCACAAATACTGGAAGAAATGTTTGAGATTCTAGGCCTTGGTGCAATGTTACTGTGCTTAAAAACTGAGGTTTGTCATACTCTGATCCCCAAATGTCATAATACTGAACTTTTCCCCTTCACAATAGGGAATCCCAATAAAAAGACAAGCAATCATTGTTTTTAATCCATCTCCATATGGTACACTCCGTGGAAACAGAAGTTGTTTATCATGAGGAAAATTGGAAAGTGACTGTCCTGCGCCTTAGGACATTCTCCTGACACGAAGGGCACCATACAAATGTAATTTGTTATTTGTTGCTGTTCCTGAGATAAGATGCAAGAAGAAATTTACACCAGAGTATATATTTACCCTGTTTATGTAGCATCCAGAATTTGGTAAATTGTTCAATTCAGTCTTC